GTCGGACGTGAAAAGGTATGGGGTCAAGAACCCGACCGCGATTCTCCGGGTACTCCGGTTTCCTCCCACATTAAGACCCCGCGCGCTAACATCCGGGCTAATGTGAGTGATTAGTATAAGTTGAAATAACTTGTTTCATAATTGGTGTAAAATAAATAAAGTTAATATATATAACATATTTTGTGTAGTGCTTTTTACTGGTTCATTAGGCAAAATGTTGAGCATTTTTTATTGTAATATGTTTAAAATAGTTCCTAAAAATGCATTTTTCACTCCAAAGCAACGGTAACCATAAGCAATAACGCATGAATGTAACGATTGTTTTGCTTTAGTAACCAGGATCGCCTGGAAACTTTTGATAATTACAAGGTAAATTTACTTTTCAAGGGTTTTCGGGTTGTGCTTCCACCATAACGTTACAGGCAGAACATCGGCCCCAAACACTGGTGTCACTTGATACGACTCGGGATAACACAGGGTGAGTCTCGCATCATTGAGTCTTTAAAAATACAATGATACTTCTTGGTTTGCCGTATTGATCGCAGTCTAAACGGCCAACTTCCTAGTACAGTGCCATACTATCCCAATGTTATTAGCATAGCAACGTCAATTTCACTGTGTACACTTTTATATGAAAGGTTCTTGAAAGCTGTTTATTGATAATGACGCTAGGAATCTATTTGTCATATTGGTTTTTTTCTGATTAAAACAAATTTCAAATACAGCTTAGTATGTGCACAATGGTGTTTATGTGTTGTGCATTTGTGTCGAATTTGGAATCCGATAACGTTTTGTATGTTGTACTATTGTGTAGTATAGTTGTAGTATATCGTTTGCTGTTTTAACTTCGTAACTTTTGGCAGTTGTAGAACGAATATAAAGGTGGTTGAAAGATTGCTTAAACATTACAGATACATCTTAAAATACAAGCTGTTAGGAATTTCCTTTTGCTGACTGATTAAAATGGGATATTGATGTTTTTTACAATACCTTTTTCAAATTTAAGACTCAATCTGTTTCGGCTGTAGACCATTTAGGTGCTCCTGGATGATAAGAGCGTCCAACACAAGTCACCTGATTGAACTACAGATGCTGAACGTCTATTTGTCGCCATCATCGTCTTGCGAAATGGATAACGTCATCCTCTCCACAGGTAAGCAACATTACGGTAACTCTTTCAACCGTTTAATTGATTGATAGCAAATGATATCCATTGCATTCATTTTTCTATGAACTAAACAGTATTATGTGTCATTTTAAATTCAATTATAAGGAACATAATGGTATTAATAGGCAATACGCTTTGGAAAGTAGAATTAACTTGATAATTACCTTCCTACTAGCATTGTAATCATCAACTGCCAATAAGATAAATCGTGTCTCCCATAACACGAAACGTAAATTCAGACGATGTGACGTCACTTCCCACAAAAAAAACCATTGACTGAGGGTTATGAAATAAATAATCACTAGAAATACGAATCAAAGAACTAAAGCATCAATGTCTCGCTGCAAGGAAACATCGAATCCCAGCAATATGCCGTTACCTGTGTGTTTTTTTTTTTAATTTAGCAGTGGTACATGAATGCTTATATAAAAGTACATTTTAACTTAACCATACTGCTTTTCCGGCAAATTTGGATTCTTCATTGGTACCAGGTTTTCTTATATTACTAGAATATTATGTGTGTAATAAATGAAAGGAAAGCGCTTTCATAGACATCGCCTTTTAATGATTTATGTAATAACACATGTATCTCTTGTTAGATATTAAAAATGGATTATAAAACAGGTGAACTTTCTTGAGATAAGTTGACATTTTAGAAACTTTTCTTCGAGTTAAGTTTAACAACCGTTTTTATGTCATTGGAGCTGATTCAGTCACAGATTGAATTAATAGTTATGTATTTAAGTGATACAGCATCAACCCGAGACGTAAATTCAGCAACATATACCTTATCATTTATGTCAACAAATCATATTGAAGATTTGAGAGCTTTTATATTTTATTAATCATATCATAACAGTTATTCTAGGCCTATAGTTACATTGATATCATTTCTTTATCTGTTTTATTTTAATTATATGTTTTTTCGTATCTTAACTTTGGAATGCATTTTTTTTTATTCCATATCCTCGAATTTTTGTGTTATTCTAATTTTTAAATGCCATCATTATCTAAAGAAAAAAGCGCATGAGAGAAAAAACCATTGGACATTAAAATATTAATAATAAACAAGTATAATTAAACCAGAAGTGATAAATAGACCGGTGATCAATTTTGACAGAGTTGACCTCAAATGAATAGTGTTCACAAAGAAAATGGGATGATTCAAACTATTAAATAGTTAGGTATTGTCCAGGGTAAAACGTATTTCAATAATAATTATACCTAGTCAAGTGATATAAAGCTTAAGTGGCGCGTGTCATATTTATTCATGTCCGATGTACGGTATTCAATAATTTTCTATCTCAAAATAAGATGTTGTAAAGTCTGACCTATTTTTCTTGATGTTTTCTTTCCGTTTGTTTTGGTGTCTCCTCAGTTTTTGTAGTTGTCTTTCCTTTTTTTTATGTCTCCTCAGTTTCTACTGTTGTCTCTCCCTTTGTTTTATTGTGTTCTCAATTCCTTTTGTTGTCTTTTCTTTTGTTCTATTGTCTCGTCAGCTCTGGTTGTTTTCTTTCCATTTGATTTAGTGTCTCCTCAGTTCCTGTTTTTGCATTTTCTTTTGTTTTGATATCTTCTCAGTTCCTGTTGTTATATATCCTTTTGTTTTGATGTCTCCTCAGTTCCTGTTGCTGCCTCTCCTTTTGTTTTGCGTCTTCCAAGTTCCTGTTGTTGCCTCTCATTTTGTTTTGGCGTCTTTTCAGTTCCTGTTGCTGCCTCTCATTTTGTTTTGGCGTCTCCTCGGTTCCTGTTGTTGCCTCTCCTTTTGTTTTGGCGCTCCTCAGTTCCTGTTATTGTCTCTCCTTTTGTTTTGGCGTCTCTTCAGTTCCTGTTATTGTCTCCCCTTTGTTTTGGAGTCTCCTAAGTTCCTGTTGCTGCCTCTCCTTTTGTTTTTTTTTAGAGTTTCCTCAGTTCTTATTGTGTCCCATGTATTGACTTTGATTTCAAATTGGGTCCTTGCATATTATACAATTGTTTTATTCCTACTCCAGTACAAATTGATTCACCCCATTACCATACATTCAATAATTAATCAATCATATTTGTTACTGGTTTTTTAATACTTCAAGCCAATCAAAGATACTGTTTTATCACAAAAGATTTCATTCTATTCCCTTAAAATTCTGTAATGGGTAAATCATGTGTGACCAATGTAAAAACTTCCAGTCAATAAAGGATACTGTTTGTATAATATATAATCAATGGCAGTGGAAATGCAGACATAAATCATATCTATATATACTCACATTGTCATATTGATTACCATTTTCGCAAACATTATGTCTTTCGATGGTCACTAATGGTAGGATGAGATCGTACCGGATGAAAACATACTGTTTCTATCCTAAATAGAACAACTGTGTTAAGTGAACAGATTTGGATAAACTGTTGTACGATACCTCTCAGTAGACATCTTAAGTTGCTCAATACAGGTTTGACTGTATGCGTTAATGTTGTATTAGGAAACATGTTGATGCTAAGCCTTTCATAGGTTTTTGTTGTATTAAAATAGATCGGAAAGTTGACATAAAAAGCATGACCGATGGACAATATTGATGTTTATTCTGTAAGATTTTTGAACCCGGGAGAAAAATATTACCCTGATTGATCTTCATGCAATTTGATACGAAAATTATTCCTATACTAACATCGTACCAGTTTACATAGAATCAAGCATAAACAAATTTTGTATAGCATTGTTAGCTTTAACAGTAGAATCTATGTTTTAATTTTTAACCTCCACATGTTCTTAACATTTTTTTTTAGTTATTAAGTGTGTGAATAAAAAACAAGGTCTCTCTGTATATAAGCAACTTTAAAAAGTTAAATATATAGAGGTACATTTTAATATAAATAGAAACTTTCATAAAAATATGAATACATGACATATCATCAAGCTAACAAAACTTTACACTACACTGCCTGGGTCGTTTATATCCCAATAAATCGCAGACTCTGTATGCTTTACTGTTCGATAAACAATCGAGGGCATGTACGTACTATCATAGTCGAGCACTTATGACTCTTTGTTGTTATCACAGTTTAACCCTGTCTTTCAAGAAGGGGCTAATTTTACTAAAAGTAAACAAATAGTATTGTCTCCTTGCGTCTGAGGACTCAGCTACATACCAATGTCAACATTTTATATGGGCGTTTCCTGTTATTGTGTTATTTAATTATTAGAACTATTCGTTATAATTGGAAATCTGAAACCATTCTCTCGGGATGTAACCACTGTACGTAGGCTGGTATGTTGTTTTAGGTGCTTAATTTCAATATTAGAAAACATGGCATGTCACATTAAGTTAATTACGTCATCAAACCTGTTCACCCGGTGATACGCGTGTAAATGTGTAATCATTGAGGCCAAGGTTAAAATGGAATACCAATGCCATCCCGTTACATTGCCATAATTAATCACACTAAGCGATGGATATTCGATCGTCTCGACGGAAGGTAGGTGTTAACATACTCTTGGTTTTTAACACCGATCATCACTTCTACGACAAAAAAAAGTTGTTCTATCTACATCATAGTATTATGTACTGCCTCAATATCTGTTGTTAAGAATCTGTCCTTGGTAACAACGTGAATGTTGTGGGGTGCCAGGTAAGTTGTACTAGCACTAAAACAATAGAATTTCTTACATCATCGAAACCTCCCCGAATTCGTGACGTAGTACAAGTGAGAAGGAATGGCTATTGCTACCCCGCAAAGGTGCATACAGGTACACCGCGTCAGATTCTCAGGTGAGACTGCTCAGGTGTAACGGGTGATACAACCTTCCTAAGGTGTACATTATAATTTACATACTCTATATATAAAGTAAATAGCGAGTGAATGGGGCTGTATACTTTCATTACTCGGCAGACATGAAGCTAGCACTACGGTTTAATATATCGGTGATGCCAGTCTTATTTCGTGGTAATGTAAGTATAATACTTTTACACATATTATTGTATTATTTTATTCAGGTAATCATTATATGAATATTAGGACTTAACTGACATAGAACAGGACTGCTTTGATACTTAATACATTTTTCAAACATCCTTTACCGACGTCGTTGTAAAATTTGGGGATTTTTTTTTTTATCATTTGTTATTATTAATAATATTGATAACAACATCGTACATGTCATCAGAGGGGAGTATTGAACTATATGTCAAAGTTACCACTTGGAGGGGAAAACAGGGGGAGGGGTAGGGTGTCTCTTCAGCTCAGTGATACCGTCGTACGAAATATGGGGTTCCCGTTGCTTTCCTAATTGCAGGCGCCCGTTTCTTTTGTTACTACTGTCTGTTATAAACTGGTACAATGACCAACCCTTATTTTCTTAACTATGGGATTTATTCGAATCTGGATTGTAAATTATGTCGTCTGCTGGGTTGAGTAATTTGGTAAAAGGGGAGGATATTGTGAACGATTACCACGTACAATTTTTGCTCACTAGCTCTGTATGGGAAAGGATTAGTTTGGCTTAAGGTAAAAGTGTCGGACTGCACAGTATGGGGTCCATGATTGGTCTCGGTAATGTGTCACTCTTTCCTTTAATCCAATCATAGTATTAGTATAAGTACCTGCTTTTCTATCATTAATAGTGATACAAAACCCCAAATATATCGATAATATATTACAGCAAATATTGCGCTTAACTCCTTTATAATGGTGACAGTGAAATGAGATTTTACAATTAAAACTCATTTTAACGCATATGTGTACACATACCTATCTAGTATTATTATTTACTAGATAGATAAGTTAATATATTTGATATCAAAGTTTTACTTTTTACACAAACAATGTACGTACATGTATTAAACCTGTCACAACATTTCTAGACCGACTAGTCCCTTTGTCAAGCTATGACTGAGTGAGCGATGTGTTTGTGTAAAAAGTAAAACTTTGATATCACATATTTCCAAACTGATGAATCTAATTGAAGTTAATATGTTTATTAAAAACAAACCCACTTTTTAACTTTTAACTTTTTATACATATTGTGTACCGTTCATGCCAAATCGGCATGTCAGCTGTTTCAGTTACGGTATCTATAAATCATACTGCTCGCCGATTTCTGTTTACAATTGTTTGAGAGAGTAAACAAAACCATAAGTGTTTGATTGTTGAGTGTCGTAATATAAAAATGATTAGAAAGTAAACACCAATGCATGTCTGAACGTTTATTTATAAATACTTATGAGACTTAATACTTATGATAAGTATCATAAGTATGATAAGTTTTACCCTTTCACCACTGTAGACCATAATGGACTCAGATAACTGTATGGTAGAGTTTACTAAAGTTGCCTAGGGGTGAAAGGGTTATTTTGTCACTGGTTTCTTGGTTTCTTTCAAAATTGTCAAAATCATGTTTGTATTAAGGTATCGGGGTCAGGGGTCTGAGATTTGGTCATGTCGTAAAGGAAGAAATTTGTTTTTCCTTACTGTCACTAATATTAGTATCAACTTACTACGTTTGGACAATTCAAATTCTTATAAGCATGCACATTATATTATCAATATTTGAATTATGTAATGAAAAGTTGTCAACGTGACTATAAAGGGGAAATTTCAAATCGTTGTTTTTCATTATGTTCATTATGTTATGATTCGGTACCCGTGACTCACCTTAATTTCGCTAGATAAGTATTTTTCTGTGACATTCATTTCCTAACTCAAATTCATTATGAATTGCTATAAATATGATTGATGCTTGTCAATTTCACGTTTTCAAATTGTCTTAAATATATTTAATAGCTTTGTTCGTCGTAAGAATAGTTCAAAATTGTTATATCGATTTAAAAAAAAAAGTTAACTATTATAACTAGTTTATTTCAGAAAGAAAAAGCCAACATTACACCAGTTGTTTTTTAAAGGGATATAAAATAAAACACAATACATCATGTGATAGCTAGCAAGACCAATCTTACCCTATATTAATCATACAATGTAAACATATTTTGCGTATGTGCCATTACACAGAACCTGTCCTATATATGTCAATAACTAATGCAGTAACGGGAGTTTAAAAACCACGCCTTTGCTGTACAATGTCAACACTTCGTCTTCATTTATTAGCATTCCAACAACGTCCGTTTAACATTTTACTCTTTTATTACATTCACGATATCCCTCAAGACTGGAATAAATTTATTTTCTGTAAAGCGGACGTGTCGCTGCTGTGAAAGTGTACAATACCAATATTTCACAGCTGATTAACTTGTTCGTATATCTTCAATCCCAAGCTAGATACCCGCGGCTTCACGGTTAAGGGCGAATCCAATAACGATTAATTACGAGAGGATGAAATGATGACGCGACACATCGGCCAATAAATCTGTATTCCAAACATAAATAGCATGGCGCTTCACCATAAGTCGTTTTCCTGCATGTAATATATAATATGTTTGTGACTACATCTGAATATCTTGCCATGTCATTGAAATGTAATCAACAACATGCTTTAACTTCAATATGATAATCTTTCTCTTCATGACCACCTGACCCTGATGGCACTTGTTAGTCAGCTTAAGTAGGTCAGTTATCTTCCTCATCTAATCATACAGAGTCTAAAGATACCTTAGACAGGGATCCAGATATGTCTGACAATTTTTCACTCCTTCATGAGCCGTCAGAATTCAAGGAGAATGATTTGTTTACGCTATTCCCTAGTGTAAACATTTTTATTTGCTTTAACTACATTCTTATCCATAGATGTTACACAATAAATCTGTAGGTAATATATGTCAATCATATGCAAAGTTATTGTATTGCATGAACATGAAAACCTCGATATAATGCCCTTCGTCCTTTTGACAACTCGTTTAACGTTAATATAGTTCAATTTCCATTTTTCTTGTTTTCTCAAGAATCCCTTTATGCATTTTCCTCAATTTATTGCCAAACCCCTTTATAACGCCAAAATTTATCTGGACAAACGGTGGCAGTATAACGAGATTTTACTGTTATAATGCACATAGTAATGTTATAGACATCACACAAAAACTTCCCAAACAGTTAAATATTTTTGTATAATCTATACTGTATTTATATATAAATTACAATTTACAACGAAAACATGATAAAAGGCCTTGTTTAGAAAATATTATTTCATTTTTTGTTGTATAAAATATACCTGCAGCTTCTGTTCCTACTTTGATATGCATTGAAAGATTGTATGAGTACTCAAAACCCTGAACAAGCAAACAAAACATTGATCGTGTAAGAACATTTCGGGATACTTAATATTTTCTTATTGCAATCCTTTAAGACAAATTCACTTTTTTCTGTCAGGGTGACTTCATCCTACGTTTCATTCCCATAGGGAACCTCTATATTACTAAAGTCTATTCAGACTTTGCGGACGACTTCTTGGCTATTGTCAATATTTAATGAAATCATTAATTTGAATGGAAAATATTCTATGGAGTATTCTTTAGATTCCTTTCAAAGATCTGAGCCAATTAATAAAAAAACTTGATAATTAAATGTGATAAATTCATTGCCAATTCAATTCGACAATATGGAATACAGCGAAGGCTGTCCTCTGGCAAATAACCTCCAGTAATTAAGCAAGGTAACCCGACCCATCAGCTTGTTTGTGAATGCCTATGTCAATAGCTCATATTGAACTCTAAGATTAGGCGGAGGTGTAAATATTTAGATTGATGAAATGTATACAGCAAAACTTTTCGTTCGCTTCCAGTGTAAGCTTTTTATCTTCTGACACTAATATGATAATACCTTTATTGGGAACGCTGATATTTTTATGTCAACGTTTAGATTAAATACAATGACCAATGTTAGAACTATTTATGACGTTGAATAAAAATGTAAAAATCAGTCTTCTATCTTCCAACAATTTATAGCTAGTGTGAAGCTTTTGTAAAACATATAGCTATGCTTAAATGTCATAAAAATCTATGATAGTGTGACCAGAGTAACAGTACAAGCATAACTACTTCTATGAACAACGTATAATACTTAAGTACACAAAGAATAACTACTTCTATGTACAATGTATAACTACCTTTATGTAAGTTTGATTAGAAAGTGCAAAGTAAAACTACATCTATGAACAAAGTATAACTACTTTTATGTACGAAGTTTAAATTCTTTTATGTACAAAGTATAACTTATATATGCAAAGTATAAATACAGTATTATCTAAAGTATTACTATCCCTATATACAAAGTATAACTACTCCTATGTACAAAGTATAACTACTCATATGTACAAAGTATAACTACTCATATATACAAAGAATAACGACTCATATGTACAAATTATAACTACTCATATGTACAAAGTATAACTACTCATATGTACAAAGTATAACTACTCCTATATACAAAATTTAACTACTCCTATGTACAAAGTATAACTACTCCTATATACAAAGTATATAGGAGTAGTTATTCTTTGTACATATGAGTCGTTAAACTTTATATATAGGAGTAGTTATTCTTTGTATAACTACTCATATATACAAAGTATAACTACTCATATGTACAAGGTATAACTACTCCTATATACAAAGTATAACTCCTGCAATATACAAAGTATAACTACTCATAATTACAAAGTATAACTACTCATATATACAAAGGATAACTACTCCTATGTACAAAGTATAACGACTCATATGGACAAAGTATAACTACTCATATATACAAAGGATAACTACTCCTATGTACAAAGTAGAACTACTCCTATATACAAAGTATTACTACTCCTATGTACAAAGTATTACTACTGATATGTACAAAGTATTACTACTCTTATATACAAAGTATAACTACTCATATATACAAAGTATAACTACTCCTATATACAAAGTATAACTACTCCTATATACAAAGTTTAACGACTCATATGTACAGAGTATAACTACTCCTATATATAAAGTATTACTACTGATATGTA